TAGACGCCATATGGCCGCCGGCATACTAATATCAAATGGTCCACTGTTATTAAGTTTTTTTATATGGTAAAAATAAGTTCTTAACCATAACAGTTTAAAATCAGTAACAAAAGTGTTGTGCAGAAACTTTTAGATGACAACTTCAGTTCTTTAAGTGTAGTTGATGACTATATTGATTAAAGAGATACAACTTTGTGTAAGAAATGTCATGTGTATACGTGTGTGAATTGTTTTATGAAAAATCATAAAAATTAAAATAAAAAAAAAAATAATTAAGCAAATAACAAACATAATTTAAGTTAAAATAATTTTAAGTTTTAATTAATATAAAAAAGGATTAATATTTTAATTTTTATAAAACAGTAGAAATTTATTTTAAATATATTGTTTGAAAAGGTACTGTAATTTTTTTTTTTTTTATATAAACTATGATTTTTAAAGATCTAAGTATTTATTAAGTTTTATTAAAAATAAAAATGTATTGTGGAAGTTTTGAGTAAAATATATTATTCAATTTGATATTCAGTTAGATTAACAAAAATTATAACTAAAAAATATTTTATATGGGTATGCAATATACCAATAGAATGACTACTTCTTCCACTATGTCACAGTTTGAATTTAATAGGTATAACTACAGCGCCAACATATTTACTATGATTCCAAAATATAGGGAATTTACGGCTGCCCTCGGTCATATGGATACCTACGAACAATATGGTGCGGTAGCCGGCGGCCTATAAATTATCAAAACATAATTATTTTTATGTGGCCATATGGCAGTCAACGTGTTAAGCAAAAAAAAACCATAGTGCCATAACAATCAAAGCATTTTCCATAGAAACTACCATGCGAAAGAGATTACAGAACTGAATACTATATAAGCTGAATAACTAAAGCCATAAATTATCTGCTGAATAAAATATAAAATTACTTTATATTAATAATGTATTTATTAAACAATTTAAAAATTGTTAAAATAAGTCATACGAAAAGTTATGAAAATCAATAAATTAATATGATAAAGAGTTTTATCCAATACAATAAGACTCAAAAACCATAAATTACAGCCACTCTCAAGAATTTCAACATATCATTTTATATTATAGTAAATGTTGATAATACTGATACCGAAACAATAGAACAGATACTTAATCTAGAATTGTCTTGCACTAACTAAGATTAAAAACTGTATATGAAACATAAGCGAATAGACTGATATCAATGATTAGTGACTACCATTGTTATCATTAACAGACCAAATAAACTACAAATATTCGACAATAAACCATCTATTATGAAAAAAAATAAAATGAATGACACGAAAGCAATCGAGTAAAACCTTTTAATTCGTGGACAAAAAACCACTGCTAACAAACATTAAATCGCTGCTTCAGTTCCAAGTGAATTACAACAATATACAACATTTAAATTATACCTGATGGTGTTGCCCGTTCTCATCCTGATCCACTGGGGAATGGGACGATTCTGTTTCATCTTTTTGGCAAGCTTCTGCTTGATCTTGAACGTCTTTTTCGACGACTGCAAACAACAAACACACGTGATAAAAAATGTTAACGTTGGAATTAGAATGTCCCTAAGGCGAGATGAGATTTCTACGCAATGCTCGACATCTCAGACGTTTGGCCGACCGTTCGTTGTTACATATGGAAACTTTGAATAAATAAATAATTTGCAAACTTACCATGATGACGGAGAGACGTTGGAAACGTTGAATCCAAATTGCCTTTGGACTCCCCCGACGTAATGTGAAATACGAAGATCGAATACGTGATATTGCAGGTTATGTTTCTGCATCTTCGTAGACGACAGTATCGACGGTGCACCGCGTGTGTAAAAACCTGTGCGTGCAGTTGGCAACACCGTACGTCATCGCCCCTCTCGTGTTTCCGCGGGAATGTCGTAAAGGTATAACGGCCAATTAAACACATTTTTGTCTTCAATATTCAATTTGACTAACGTTTTTACATTCAGTTTCATCTTCATCGATCATGAGTCCTTGTTGAATAAGTTAAACGCAATATTTTTTCTGTTCACTCTACGTTTCCATCATGCAGTCGACTTCAAAAGTGTCATTAAAAATCACGTCTGATTCGTCGGTACTCTCGGTATAGGTGCACCTTGGGCATCACAAGTGCAAAAAAAAGAGACGGAAAAATTAACGTGTCTTGTGGATTAAAAATTATTTAAAAATTCAATTTTATGAAATTATAAATGATTTGCAACTTGATGAAGTGGTAATATTTATAAAAATGTTGTCGTAAACTTTTTATTTTCAGTTTAAAATCCATGTTAAATTATTGTACACCGATTGCTGTGTTTTAGCATTTTTAAAATAAAATAATACGAGTATAACATTATAAATATCGAATGGCTCCCTCCTTAAGTTCTTCATGCGTAATTTATTTTTTCTCTTTGAATTTATACATAAGAAAGAACAATTCATTCCCAAGTAGTGACAATTAAACCACCGATACTACAAATACAATTGTTTCTATGATTATTAATAAAAGCTAGTTTGAATTTTTTTCAACTTATAACCCTTGATATACATTTCCAGTCTCATCAGTCATTATTTTATCTAATATTGAAAAAATAGTTGACCATTTCTCAGCTATTTGTAAAATAGTATTACTAAATTATCACTATTGGTGTGATAATGTATATTTTTTTAATTAATTTTCAAAACAAGTAATTAATGAAATTGTTATACCTTTGCGTTTTTAATATTTCTTATTTGATAAATAAAACAAATTTTAAAAGGGAAAACTATGTATTTTTAATGCAATCTTTGTGTCTTGTACCATAGATGTATTTTTAAGGCATTTTATTGTGGATGATAACCATATTAAGTTGATATTCCAAGTTAAAAATTATATTGCAGATTTGTAAAATATTACAACTGATGAAAAATATTTATTGACTCCCTGCTGTCTATCATCCACAAACAAATGAATATGAATAAATTAAGTACTTGGCCATCCATATAGTATATAGAAAAGTTGATGTAATTGTACATACATAAATAGCAATGGCAATGATTAAAAATACAAATACCAAAAATTGCATAGTTAAATAATACATCAATAAACAAAATTAACTTTTAAAAATACTAGTCATTTTTAAACAGTAGTCTATTTGACATTTTCATTACAAAAAAAAATAAAATAAAATAATATAACTAAAATAAGTCTTTTTTCCATAAAAAAAATAATTAAAAATATATAAAAATAAACTTAAATGTATCATGTATATCTGATAACATTAAAGTAAAATTATAAGGAACAAATATATTATTCAACAAAATAAATTTAACAATTTATAAAATGAAATTAAACATGAAAATATGAAACATTAAGGAATAGATTTCAATAACTTCAATATTTGATTTTCAGATTCAATTTTTACTTTATGTTCCTTTGGAAATAATTTTCTGATTATCAATTTGATATTTTGTTCCTCTGAAAATCAAAACCATTATGTTTTTAAATATGTACTCTTATCAATTAATATTTATGAATCAATAGTAAGCTAATGATCTGCTAAACATTATTTGTAATCCATAACAGATAAATTATATTTAACCGACTGTCTGTAAGATGTTACAGAGCATAATATTCATAGAACTTAATATGACTTAAGACATAATCATAAGTTTGAATTCAATTTATTTAACACCCAAAATTTTCTAGTTAAATAACTTTATTATTGACATAATAAAACTAAAAGTTTATTTAGGCGTAATAAATGTAGTTGTGTATATTATAATTAAAATTTAGGAAAAACTGTCAGCTTGGCTTCTTGTTGTTTAAAGGTACTTAAAATATTCACATAGTGGAAATGTGAACAACCTATTATGGACATGTATAAAATAAACATATTAACAAGGCTAGTAATTTTAACATGTTTGAATTCATGTCATGCAGATTTTAGAAAACGATGGAAGAGCCATTAAGTAAAAGTTCTAACTTATTTAATTGAAATAAATATAGTGGTATCTATCCAAAATAAATTGTTGAAAATATAGAAATATAAAGGAAACAAATTAATATTTCATTCAATTACACTACAAATTGTACTGCGAACATATTTATATTCTCTGTAGTTACGATTATGGTTTTTTGTTTTGAGAAAACTAATGGTCTATGATTTAATACTTAATTTAAAATTATTACTTAACTTTTGTTTACAAATAATTATGCGTGTATGAAAAAATATTTTTAATTGGTTGGTAATAAAAATAATTTACCTGGATGACTAGTGGACTCCAATAATTTATGAACAATTTCTCTTGCCATGAATTTAAATAATTCCTTAGTTTTAAATAAACTATTTTTGTAGTAAGGATTTAATAAGCTTACAACTAAATTTGATAGTTCAAACTTTTTCTGTTTATTGTTTGGGTCCTCAGTCTTATTTCTAATTGTTTTTGTAGATTCATGAATTTTTTTGCTTGTCTTGAAAGTATTATTTACATTTGATGACATTCCAAGTCGGACTCCCAAGGATTTCTTTTTAATATCAAACAATATTTTACTTTCATCATCACTATCATCACCAAATAGACTATTCATATTACTTTTTGACGAAGATACTTCAATGTTATGCTGAGTTGATAATCTATGATCAAGCGATGGTCGTTTTAAGTCCTTTTGGTTTAAAGCAAGTTCATTTAATTTGGTTACTTTTTTTCCGTTTTCAGATGGACTTTTAAGAATATCAGATAATTCATTAAAAATATCATTAATCTTTTTTCCAGAAGTTTGAGATTTATTACTTTTAAATTGACTATGTAATAATCCATTTTCTTGATTTTGAACATTATTTATTTTATTAATACAAGTTTTATTAAATGTATGAGGATTTGTTCTATCCTGATGAGAAGGTAACATATTATTTACTCCTATATGTTCACTTTCAGAATTTATCAAATCCTTAGATGAATTATGCATTGAACTGTAAGATTCATAATTATTTTTTAATAGATTAGAAGCCATAACTATTTTAGGAATTTGCATATTAGCAGAAGTCTGATAATATGAAGATTCTTTAAATTTACATTCATTATTTGACACATCATGTCTTTTCTCTAGTGGATGAAATTCTTTTATTTTAGGTGAACTGTTATTTTTAGAAACATCTATATCAACACTTTCTATAATTTGAACATCATCATCAGAAGATATTTCCATGTCACTGTCAGTATTCGCTATTTTAGGTTTTTTAGTAACACATTCTTCATTTTCTAATGTAGGTAAATTAGTAGTTGGAACTACAAATGATTTCATTGATTGCTGAGTTAAATGATCTCGTTTTATTCCTCTTTTGATTTTGGGCTCTGGTACTTTATTATTCATTTGGGCTTGAATAAGATCTGAAGCAGTGACTATAGATGGGAGTTCTGTCTTATTAGTTGAATTTTCTTTAGGTTCTTCTTTTAAATTCTCTGGTCGTGTATAATTTTTTATTTTGTCAAAGATATTTGAAGCTCCAGTCTCTTCTTTGATAAGTGAAACCTGAAACAATCAATAAATCAAGTCAATAATAATAATAATAATGATAAAATCTTGATTTTATTGATTTTGTTGTACCTGATAATGCATATTTAATTCAAAACCGGTTATACACTATAAATATAATAATACTTCATTTATTTATTTATTTCTACACATAAAATTTTTATTTACTTATGAATTTATGAATATTAACCTTTTACTACATTTTATTTTATTAATAAATGTTATTATTTAAATGAAATATCAAAATTAGGTTAATATCTTAAAAAAAATATCAAACAATTAAACAAAATTTAAAATGTTTAAAAAAATAAAATGTCAACTTAATTAATTACATTTAATTTTAATATTGATTTAATAGAATATATTAGAGAGCAGGTGTCTACAAGTATTTTTTATTGCAATTCAAAAAATTAAAATAATAAATAAATAAGAATCAAAAGAAAAAATTATTTTATTAAGAGAAATCTGTAACATGAGTCAAATAAAATCAAATAATAATCAAAAATGAAATAAAATATTCTATTTTTTCATAAATCATTATAAAAATTATTTAAACAATGTAATTATTGCATTTAAGTTAATATCTGCTTACTCCAGCCCACCAATTGCCAACCGCTAATATAGAATATATATTATATAGTTCTAATTTTTTTCTTCTGCATGTTGTGTATCAAATCAAATTATTTGCACTTTTTATAAATCTGATTAAATATTAAATCTATATCATAAAATTATATACTAAAAATGATGTGGTATAGTTGTATCATGATTAACATTTTAGTGAAGATTTCCATAAAATATGGATAAATTCACTAAAAAATCAGATATTTTTTCTAAGGTAAAGATAATATCTATGTTACACTTAACTGTTTTTGCAATTTTCTTCCGATAAACAGAAACAACTTTTGAACTAGTAAATGCTTCATATTCTAAGTCAACTGCAATATTGTGAAGGTCTTTTTTAGTTATTTCTGTTAAAGAATCACACAAAGAACATTCTTCAATATTTTTATTTAAGTGTTCTTCAATAAACCTCAATAATTCTTCTCTCACCTAAAATAAATAAAAATGTTATTTTAAAATGAATACAACTGAAGACTATAACTATAAAGTGTGATCCCTTTTAAAGGTAACACTAAATTATTCTGTCCAGTGACATTGGATTGATATGCGGTTTCGAGAGGAGACAGAGAATGCCTAAATACCCATTTTTCGATAGTTTTCAAATTTTTAACTCTTTTATTGTACGCATGCGCAACACAACTTGCATTTTTTTAAATAACAACACTTACTTTCAACTGTATTATATTAACTATTATACGGTATAGTATAAAACAAGTAGTTTTTTATGTTTTATATTGTATAAAATAAAATCCCCTATAAACAAAAATACATTTATAATTTAAACATTTTAAATTTAAACACAATAAAACAAGAAAATATAAATTATAAATAAACATTTGTGATGCTATTAATCTATTGTTAATAATTATCATTATTTTATTGCAGACATATTTATAGTAAATTCATTGTAATTGTGATATTTGTAACACTTTTAATATTTTATATTAATAGATTATAAACAAAAAATTAAAGCAGATATATAATTTAAAATAGTAGTAAAATATATTTTTACTATGTATAAAAATTAAAAACCTTACTTAATATCTGAAATAGGAAGTATTTTTAATTTTTAAAAATGAATTTCAAAAACAAACCGTATTATATGATAGTCATTTTAAACCTTTTATACATGGGATATTATACATGTAACATATAACACATTTTATACATGTATATTACTAATCCTACTTTTAACAACAGATTTGGGTAGACCGATTTTAATACTTTCTATTATTTAATTAGATAAAACAATTTCTAACAACTATCTAATAAATTTTTAGTCCATCATTCTCCATGCATGATTGAAATTGATGCATTACTTCTCTTTGAGTAGCTGCTAATATCTGTTCCATTTGAAGTTCTACAGAAGCATTTCCAATTTTATTTTTGAGATTTTGAACATTTAAAGATGGAATTCAATACACAACATTCTTCAACTTTTTTTTCAGACTTTAAGATAATATTAGTCTTAGCACACGATAAATAAAATTTGGTTTATTTTAGTAAAGACTACAAATTTAATAATCTTAATAATTACACGTAATTGTCCACTTGCATCACGAAAAATGAAAATAAATGATAGAAATAATTATTTAAATTGAAATTTTAATAATAGAAGTTATGAGAATTAAATCATATCACTTTGTTTAATTTTTTTCTTTGTAAATTAACATTTACGTCAAATTAAAATTAATTAACTGTTCAAAATTAAATTAAAATAATTTAATAATGTCTGTAAACAATAATTTTTTAATCGAAATTTTAACTCATAGTCATTTAGTCAATTTTGGTTTTAAGCTATGATAAAGAGAACCAAATTGACTTAAAAAATGTCGGTCTATCCAAATCTGTTGTTAAGTGTTGCTATTTAAAAAAATGTAAATTGTGTTGCGCATACGCACAATAAAAGAGTTAAAAATTTGAAAACTATCGAAAAATGTGTATTTAGGCATTCTCTACCTCCTCTCGAAAACCGCATATCAATCCAATGTCACTGAACAAAATAATTTAGTGTTACCTTTGAAAGGGATCACACTCTATATTAAATTGAATAAATAAAAAATTTTAATTTATTCAAAATACATTGGGTTTAGCAACAGTTTATTGTGATAATGTATAATAGGATAAATTTAAATCAGTAGCTATATTTAATAACACTACATTCTTAATCCAATTAACCATACTAACTGCTAACTACAAATAATTATGAATAAATAAAACATTAAACTAAGTAATTTTCTACTTATTCCTATATATATTTAAAGTTTTACAGTGGAAAAAATAGCATTATTTTTGTCATATAAACACAACCACCAAAATGTTAAATACAAATTACGAATGAGTTAAAAAATTATTTTTCATTATTTTTTAACTTAAAAAAATAACTTAATTTTTTTTAATTATTTAAATTACTCAATTGAATTTCCTCGAGTTGTTCAGAATTTATTAACAAATAAGATTTGAATCAAATGTTAAATTCCATACAAAAATGGAATCAACTTAAAGTTAATAAACAATACGTAGTAGTTCAAAATAACTGTATATAATTATTAGTTCTTTACCCATAATAATAGAGAATAAAATACTTACTGATAACAGCAAACCATTGACTTTTTTAGTAGTAGATGCAGCTGCTCTGACTTTTGAAATTTTTACAAATTCTTCATTTTCTTTAATAAGATTTTGTATACTAGCTCGTCTGATTTCAAATTGTCGTTTTATTTCCAATTCTAGTTCTAAATTTTTTTTATGCTCTTCCCGATCTCCCTCACGCATATAATCTTCAGTTTCCCTAGACAATGTTGTAAAATTATAACATTTACTATAAAAATTTATGATTTAGGATATTAAATAAATACTCTTTAACAGCATTGCGTCCTCCACCATAAAAATCACTAGATACTAGTTGTTCATTTGATGCAATTGTATGATTCATGTTTTGTAATCCAAACATAAATGAATCTAAATCTGCTTTTACTGCTTCTTTATTACAACATACATCACATTTATCAATACATTGAGGTTTTGCATCTCCAAAATAATCAGCAAAAAATGCATGTCGGCAACTATTTAAATATACACAAAATTATATAATAATAATTCTTAAATCAATTAGCTCTAAAATTTATTTAAAATAAAAACATACTATACACTTTCACAAAACTGAATCATCTTTAGAAACATGCTATAACTTCCTTTCGCTTTTTTTTGTTTATCTTGGGTTTTAGCTTGAGTTATGGCAGATTTTAAAATAAAATCTAATGAATTTTTTGAATGTTTTGAATGATAAATTCGACATCGAGCAAGTTTGCCATCTCTTCCAGCACGACCAGATTCCTGATAATAAGCTGGAATACTAGATGGTATACCCCAATGCACAACAAACCTTACTGTTGCTTTATCAATTCCCATTCCAAAACTTACAGTTGCAGTTATTACTTGAATATGTCCACTCATAAATGCTTCTTGAACAGCAAGACGTTCTTTATCTTTTAATCCTATTTTAAATAAAACATATTAATAATTTCAATAATCAACATAAATTTATTGTCACCACTGAGCATTATATTAAAAAATATTTAGTAAACTACTTCCAAAACTAAACTATAATTAGTGTATATTATTCAGAAAAATTTTAATGAATTAATTAAATAAAAATTAACCAAAAAACTGGGATGTATAGTAGCTCTCAAATATTTTTTTCACAGAGCCCTTAAAATATTAAAAAAATTTACCAAGCCCCAAAAAAATTAAAATGCTTATTTATACCACAACTCATAAAAAACTATATATATCAACAATTTGTTTTTTTTACAGTACAATATGTACATGGCATACATATTTAAATATGTATATATAAATACTATTGAGATATTTTTAAGTTTTTATGGGAAAAATGATACTATTTTCATTTTCATTAACCAGCTCATCAAAATTTTGTTTAACAGAAAAAAATTAATGCATATGTGTTATATACATTCTATAAATTAATTAACGTTTATATAAATGCTTAATTTTACTTAATTTAGATGTGTTCATAGAACCTCAAGATTACTATTTTGCAAAACCCTAGAGCTTTAAAAACTGTCTATCCATAGGAAACATACTAAATTAATTCTAGTGACATAATATACTTACCAGCATGATAGGGGGCTATTGAAACACCTCTTCGGCTAAGAACTGTAGCAATTTCTTCAGTTAATTCTCTAGTTCTACAATATATGATTCCGCAAGGTTGATTTAACTTGAAACATATAAATCATAAGTAATGTTCAATTTAAAAATGATAAATTTTTAAATAATTTACCGGATTGATATTTAAAGTACTGTCTAAACAATTTGCATCATCACAAAAACATTGATCAATAAAGTCTTTCAAATGCTGATAAGAATTTCCAATGGTATCATCAAATATTACATCATAGAATAGATTTGACCTGAAGCAAGGAGTTGAAAATTTTGAAACAGGAGTTTTAAGACATAATACATTCATTATGTCAGTAACAACCTAAACATAATATTATAATATACATTATTCCAAATGGTTAGAACATATTTTTAAGTAATTATTTATATTATTTACATCCGCACTAGCCGTAGCTGTAAGTGCAATCCAAGGAATATGTAGATAAAGTTGTCTAAGTGCACCCAGCTTCAAATAGTCAGGTCTAAAATCATGACCCCATTGGCTTACACAATGAGCTTCATCAACCACTATATATGCAAGTTTATTTTTTCGAACTAAATATGACAATAAACCCTGCAAATACAATTATATCATAGAAAAATATCATTATACAAATAAAAAAAATATTTATTCATCAACAAGATTATCAGTAGTAAAATAAATGTCTTAAATCAATAATTATGTTAATGACCACTGACAAATTTTCACATATAGTATTATAAATTATAAATATATGGCTGACCTTAAAAAAGTCTGTAGATGCTTGTTCCGGGGTCACATAAAGTAAAGAAGTTGATACTTTTACAGAATATAAGTCATTAATCACACGTTTTCGTTCAGATTCAGTCATTTTTGAATTAATTGTTTCAGCGCAAATATGTAAGCGTCTTAAATGATCAACTTGATCCTATTGAAATTAAAGGCCATGGATTATGTTATTTTTTATTTCTTTATTTTAAAAACAAGCATATACCTTCATTAAAGCTATAAGAGGTGAAAAAACTATTGTAACTTTAGATTTGTGAAGTACAGCAGGTAGTTGATAACATAATGACTTTCCAGATCCAGTTGGCATTGATACAAACACATCATATTTTCCTTTAAAATATACATGGTCAAAACGATAACAAATAATGACATTTTAATACACTTACGTTTTAATATTGTTGAAATAGCATTTTTCTGTAAATCACTTTTGAAGGTAGGGTGATGAAAATAATTCTTTAATTTTTCAAGTAGTTTGTTTGAATCCATAGTCAGAGTTTTTTCATCTCTATATCGTGTTTCTCCCGACATATTTAAATATAAATCTGGTATAATAATAAATCTATACTACTAGATTAATATTATTTAGTGATAAATATTAAAATACAATGATAATTGATTTAGAAACTCAAAATAATACATGTGCACATTTTTAAATGAGTAGTCGAAGGCAAATATTACATGTTATATTACAGTTATATACAGATAATCTCACACATGAAATTTAAATTAATCTAATGATACTGTAAAACAAAAATCATTTTTTAAAACAGTAACACGATCATCATTACTTTTGTCTTTTATCACAATATTCACCTTAAAATATAAAATATGTTCGTTGAGGCAATGCTGCTATATGATAAAAAAAAAAAAAAAAACCAAAAAACCATTAGATATTAAGTACTAACACAGGTTGACATTCGTTTTGTCCAATGTAAACTTGACCGAATTCTCAACAAAATCTGATAATGATAATTCGGTTTTTATAACAATATATTGTATTTTGTTTATATAATATTTTTAAAATCAACAGTATTAATTCGTATTTCTTTATTACCTTCAAAACTATTAGTAAAATAACGTCTCCATGGAAATGTTTTACGATCATTATATTGATCTCAATATTCAACCGTAAAATTATAAATTGTTAAAAATTCTAGTTTTTCATTTTAAATTTTTGGATAAGTACATTTTATAACGAATAACAAATGCTACATTGTTAAACGTTCAAACAATTTTCAGATGTTCAACAATACACCAAATTAAATAAAATGTTTAGATGTAATCAAATAATTTGTTATTATGTCTTCAGCTAATAAAATAACTTGAGGGTGCATACCTACATGGTGCATTCATACACTATGCACACCCTTGACCACCCGCCGTGATCTCGGCTATTGACGCATTTTTTTTCTATGTAATACATTTGTGTATAACTGTATACGCCATATAACAAATAAAGGCAGAACACCTTTGTAAACTCGTAAAAATAATATTTTATGAATATAATTTTTGGCGGCAATGGCAAGCCCGAAAACTTCTGATTATATTCGCCTCTTCTGCACTCAAAATATATGCACTAAATATCAAACGATTTACATTCAATTTGCTTTTCGTAAAAAATAATTTCGGTTGATGTTTCCTCTCCAATAAGCGATAGCTCCATATTTAACATATTTTTTTAAAAATATGAGTTACACCGGAGGTCATTTAAAAACAATTCTCTACCAACCGCAGTCGTTTCAAAAAACGCAGCAGTGCATTTTCAATATTAATACCATGGGGCTCTAATATTTTATGTTTGGCAAAATCGTTTGGGTCGTATATCACCATTGTATTGAATTTGAAATGGGAAACCTGGTGCACTATAGTATGTACAATGTACATACATAATAAATGAATAATAATACAATCTTATCGTTGATACAATCTTCGCTTGTTCAGTCACATGTTTGTCGTCTTCTTTTTACTTGTTTCCACAAAATAAAACATAATGTGTTCAACATGTGTGGTTACTGGTTAACTGGTTATTTTATTTACTACGCTCTTCGGCAGTAGTGGTTTTGAGTTATTTAAGTTATATACCTATATGACATATTGCATCAGCGTGTTTTCGGTGTTCGGTACGTCGAAGACATGTACCACAGCGGTTTCCAACCTTTCTTGTAATGCAGTCCACCAATTTCGTAAAGAATCTTTGAAGCCCATGGTGGGGGAGTTTTTATTTACGAGTTTTAATAAAAATAAGTAGATATACATAAAGTATTGATTTTATGTTTTTATTTTAATAGGTAACAATCATTTTCTTAATATGGGACGTATGTTTTTTACGTATCACTTTTAGAATTAAAATATCAATACGTAAAGCAAGTGGTAAATTTATTCCAGTCTATGGGCGGTAAAAATCTTAATTCGGCCCTGGGTCTACCAATAGTTAGTTATAATACATATAATGTGCACATACTTCGGTTATTACAAAAATAATTAAAAAACGATTTTTTATGTAAAAAAAAAAAAACTTTATTGAACCAGATCATTCGAGAGTTAAACAATTTAATGTGCTTTTTGATTGTTCCCCGCGAGAGAAACAATATCTGGATTAAAACAGAATAATCTTAACCTTATAATCACTTTCGATATCACATATCACCAATCCATATAATATGTGATCCATATTTTATATATGTATATACAGTGCCTTATTGGGGGGGGATAGATTCTCCCTTGATTATTTTTTTTATAGGTAGTTAAGTTGTCTCGTTTTCTATATTTCTCAATATGATATTACTTTTATATATTTCTGTTTTCTTAAAAATAAATATACTCACATGTGCATGCAAGTCACGGCTGTTTTACTGAGATTTTCATTCAAGTGGAATATACAAGTAACCTTGAAAGTGATTCTGAGATGTAAAAAAATTAAAAAACCATTGCACAAATGTGTTTATTAAATAAAAATTGTTGTAAATAAGAATAAAATATTTGTTAAGTTTTAATCGTTAAAAAAAGTGCAGGGCTTACAAGTTTTAAACGATCATAGAGTTACCATATATCATATAAATAATGTTTAACAGAGTTTTAGGTAACTTAAATATTACTATTCATTACCATAGCTGTGGCTAAAATAATAGATTCATTTTTAATTGACGCATATTTTGTATTCATAATTTATTTATATTCATATTTAATTCAATATTATTAAGTTCAGTCAGTACCGAATCTAAGGGGGGGGCATGCCCCGGCTGCTAATCATAGGGGGGCGCAAATTTCAAATTTTAAACTCATCATTTTTATTACATTTTAATTTTTTTTAAAACAAATTGAATCTTTTGTATTGAATTACACAAGTATTTCAAATTAAATAGTTTTAATTCATAATAGTCACACTGGTAAAGATTAAGAAAAGATATTTGTCATTTTATATCATATTATACTTTTGATTTTATGATTTCGCTAAAAATAGCCAAAAACACAATCGGGCCACTCTGCAATTAATATAAATCAATGTTGTATACTTGTATTGGTTAGTCGTAGACACGGACTAAGATATATATCTTAGTCCGTGGTCGAAGACTAACTAATTGAACAATGATAAGCCGAAAAGCATTGCGTATTCATGTGTGTGTATTTTCTGATATTTTAAACAAATATATACTATTTTTAACAGTTGTACTTATTTATTATAACAGTGTTTAGCATTTACTTCACTGTTCACTGGAGGGTATCTAATGAATGCTGGGAAGGCGCGAGGGATGGGCATAGGGGCAGTTGCCCAGGGCCCCACGCCTTAAATTATAATTAAGGCCCCGCGGTTCTGATTTAACTAAACTTAAAATATTTTATTAATATAAATTATAAGACCCAACGTTTATTTTGCCCAGGGACTCGCAAATTCTAGCACCGTCACTGAATGAATGTGTGTGATTATGTGAAAAAGGAATATTCACATTTAATTAAATATTTATTTAAGTGTACTTTACAAGTAATAGTATAATTGTTTTGTTATGGTACAGTCTAAAAAAAAAAAATTATCAAGTTGCGAGTTCCGAAAAAAAAAGAAAATGAGCGAACTTCAGCGTATTTTCATAATTGGCTAGGTAATATTAATATACAATGTAGCGCAGGTTAGAAATTATTTATAATTATTAGATCGTATAGATTTATAATAATTAATGACGTGATTATACTTGATATATTTACTATTTTATAATTTAATACCTAACCGCGAATATGAAACAGGTATAACTTCAAAAATAATAGTTTTCGGAAAACTTTGTGAAATAATTTTAATATATAAAATATGGAAAATGAAAATGACCAGTCAAGATGTTAACATCAAAAGTGTCTAATTATTATTAATGTGAATAAGGACTCCCAAAAATTACCACTACATTTTTGACTATGCCCCCCCCCCCTCGAAACAAAAATTCAGAAGAAGTATATCCAAATATTCTTTGTTTACTTAAAGTAGTAATGTTACTATCTATCAGTTCTGCATCATGTGAATGATCTTTGTTAACCATTTAACCATGCATCATATCAAAAACTAGATTAAAACCTTATTGCACATCGAGAGATATTGTTAATAATCTCGATCTTAATATTTTACTTGACGAATGCTGTAAGAAAAACTTATTATTATTGGTTTATTTTTATCATTATATTAAAAAAATTTTAATATATTTTATGTAAGTTTAATTATTATTTTTATAATATTAAACATTTAAAATGTAAAATTCTAAAAACCCTTGGCTACACTTTTACTTTTTATCATACTTTATACAAAACATAATTTAATACAGCCAGTTAAGTTTTTTATGTATAAGAATCGTAGCAAATAACTTTAGGTTTCCTTTTTGTAATACTATGAACTTTGTTATATCAAAATATTCATTCTTAAAATGGGCAATATTAATATTACTATATTTATTAATAATCTTGTTTTTGTTTCAATAAATAATCTATTTATTTGAAGAATCTCAAATAATACACAACTCTTTACTTTTTTTAAAAAATTTTATTTTTACAAAAATTACAAAATACAGTATATACTTATGAGAAATTTAAATTTAATGATAGTAATTACACATCTGATGTTTTACTAACTATAGGTCTGTATCATAATAAAATAATAAAGTAAACAATAGTTTTTTCATTTAGTAAATTAATAAAATAGTATAAAGAAATTGACTAGTATCTTAAATTAGCAGTTTTAAACATATTATATTATATTTAAATCTAATGCAAATTAAAAACAAACATTTGACTTTAAATAATTTTCAGCTTGATGCCATTACAAACAATTTCATTCAGACCATCTTCTGTTTGTTTAATACTAAATTTAGCCTAAATTTCAATACAACAGTTAATTTAGTAAAATTGAAAATATAATCATAGATAAATAATTAATCTTACATTAGTAAATTGTTCAGCAATATGAATGGCAGTTTTAGTATGCAGAGTGATCTCTCGACATTTTACTAGGGATTTACCATTTGCTAGAGCCATAAAAATAATAAGCTAGAATAAAATTAATTATTTTTTCTATTATTTGTAGGTACAATATTTAAAATATATATGATTTTAACTAATATTAAATTGTATTACATTGTCCATAGTATAAGCATCAACACAAGACTTAACTTCCAATTCTAATAAAAGTTTGTGACAAGCTTCATCAGTGATACTGTCCACAGTTGATTTTCTCATATCATAAAGAGAAGATGAACCAAGCAAACACTTTCCTGTATCGGCTACCAACCTAAAAAAATAGTGAATTAGTTTATATTAGTTTCTAATAAGATCATCATATTGACATTATTTACACTAAACTTCCACCAGAACCTTCTGAATCTCCAATTTCAGTGTGAATTGTAACTTTATGATAACCAGATAAATTTAACTTATTTTTTACAGCTATAGCTATATCTTTAACTATCTAAACAAAAACAATATTATTTTTAAATATTGTAAGAACATTAAGAACATTGAATTTCTCAATAATTTAAATTGATTAAAAATAAAAAAAGGTTCTTTTAACTATAAATTTTGTATCCATACATCTTAACAGAAATTAAAAATAACCCAACAGGTAATAATACATAACCATAATTTATAACCATAAAAATACAAAATAAAATATTCTTGATATAAATGATAAAATTATTAATATTTATTGTGTATATTAAACTATACTTGATTTATTTTATTGATTTGATGCTTAGGTCCGGATATAAAGATGATTCCTTTGATAGCTGGTTGATCTCCAAATTTATTAATTTCAATAGGTTTTAAATAACCAACAATTGGGTTAACTGTTAACAGTACTTCACCACGACCTTTAGGGTAAAATCCTCTATAAAAATAAGTATCAGTTTAATTAGTAATGTTAAACAAAAAAAAAAATTATAATATTTAATAAATAAATATAAAATCACATATTACATAAAATTATGTACTATGTTAACGCTGATAAAATCATGAGTGTTTACCGTTTAATAATATGTGCTTCACAATCTATACCAAATAATTTGTAAATAGGAAATAAAATCTGTAATTTTTAATATATATTATTGAAAATATGTCACAAGTAATATATTAAATAATTATCTAAACTTCTAGTAGTATTTCTAATACATTTGTTACGTAATCCATTGAGGGAGAAAAGCTGACATCTGTTCCTCCTTTCATAGTTATAGAAGAATTCTGATTACTAAATATTGCTACAGGCAACACAGACTGAATCATTAAAGGAATACTCCTATAAATTGAAAAAAATTAATTGCAAATTTTTAATTTTTTTTTTTTAACCTGATTAAGCCGTACGCAGCAGTTTGAGAGTTAACATTCAGATTGAAATTTCCCATTCTTAAAGTTTTAGGATAGAATGATAATTCACAAGAATTTAATTGATCTCCATTTGTATTAGCACGGCACATCTCTTTAACCAAATTAATTCCTAAAATTATAAAAAAAATATTTTCTTCCTAAATGATGCTTAATATTAATTTCACATTTTTAAAGTTAGTCAACATTTTATTATTCACACAATGTAGATATATTTGATTGCACACATAGATAGTTTTAAACATTATGTTATTTCATCAACCAGACAAGATCACAGAACATAGCCAATACAAGAAAATTATAGTAGCTTGTTAAATTATATTATTATAATATTTCAGTTATTTTTCATAATAATTTAGAGATTAAATTATCATTACTATTTTTAAATTAAATTATAATAAAAAATATATATATATATATACATTTATTTTTATTACTATATATATAATAGTAATAAAAATAAATAACTTTAGAGTTATGAACAACTATTTTAACTTATCAATTTTAATAGAATCATATATTACCAGATAAATGTTGAGCTTTCAATCCAGGATTAGATCGTCCTGCTCGTATTTTGGTAATTTTAATAGGTTGCTGAAAAAGACATGAAAAGGCTACGGATAGTCGCAAAATTTGGCCACCCTAATAAAATAATAATACATAAAAATAAAAATATATAAGTTATTATTTGTAGTTAGCGATTTATTTAAACTTGTTACTTACACCTTCTAATATACTGCCATCAATGTTCTTCATATCCATATTTCTATTGTTTGTAAACAAGATATTTTCACTTAGACGATTAAAATTATAAAATAATACCAACCAAAACAGTAAAAATGTATAAAAATTTATTTTGCAATTTTGATGTACAGGTTTAAAAATTACGTATTTTTAACTATAAACCTTGAGCCGGTACAGCTAATCAATGTTATTCTTATCATTATAAATCATATAACCAATCAAATCATATGATGTGAAAATAGAGTTCATTGCTCACCACGATTAAAGATATACTAATGATAACGTATATTAAAATTATTATACAAAAATGTTCTTATTTTTTATAATTTAAAACTAATTTGGATTATTCTATTATTTAACATGGATATTAAACCAGGAAGTCCTTATGATATAAATGGTGCGTGTTTTAACGCAGATATGTACGTTAAAAAAATACTTAAGGTAATAAAATAACCAAGACTAGAAATTTTATCAATTTGTACGAAGTTGTTTGTTGATTTTTATGTAAATAGGAATCAAATTTAAAACAAGTTATGGATCATGAAAGAGAAATACATCAAGACATTCAATCATTACATTCTGATATGCAGACTTTAGTATATGAAAATTACAATAAATTTATTTTAGCAACAGATACAATTGGAAAAGTAATATGACAAACAACATAATATTTTACTAAGATAAATGCAATCATTAAAATATTTAATTTTTTTTAATTATGTTTAAGATGAAAGATGATTTTAAAAATTTAGAAGGAGATATGGAAATGCTCTTATGTAAAATGGATGAAATTACTAAATCTTCAGAAACAATTACTTCATCTTTACATGCAAGTGAACAATGTCTTAAAATATAAAGAAAAAATTGAAATTACTATTTATGGTTCTTATATTATATGTAGGCTAATAGAGATGAAATATCAAAACTTTCAGAAACTCATAAATTATTAAGACGTTTTCAATTTGTTTATACTCTACCGACTACTCTAAAAAAACTTTTATTAAAAAAAGATTATGTACAGGTAATATTTAAATTTTATTTGTTACCTATTCTTTTAATTTATTGCTTAATATAAAATACTCAATTCATATCATTTTTACATACAAAACCTTTGAATATTAATATAATAAAACATATCTTTATACTATAGGTTATTATTTTGTTTGAAAAAAATTAAAACTAAATCAATAAAATTTTAATTTATTTATTTTATTTAGGTTGTTCAAGAATATTTACATGCTCAAAGAGTTTTGACTCAATATGGAAATCAAGAATCATTAAAAGGAATACTTGATGATTGCAATAATATTGTGAATGAATTAATGAAGATTTTATATAGTCATTTAAGGGATAAAGATGTAAGTACTTAGTATTTATAAATTCATAATTATTTTTGATTGTTATTAATATTTTGTATTCCATTTGAAATATGTTTAATGATTGAAACTATGATTTTATATAATAGTTAGCTTTTTATGATATTAGGGATGAAAATTATTTTCCGCATTCTGATAAAAGTAAAAAACAGTAGTGTTTTTAAAACTATGCATTTTTATACTTTTTTTTTTGTCATTTAATGAAAGTAAATGGTTGAAATAGGTATGTATAGCTTTAAGGTAATATATTTAATTTATAAAGAAACAAAATAAGTTATCAAATTGTGTACTGATTTCAATCTAGTTATTTTATGTTTATAAAATTATTAATTCTGGAGAATGTTTGATTTATTAGTCTACATTTTTAGTTTTAATCAATAAAATGCTTACAAGTATATAAAGACATAAATCAACCTATTTTAAACCAAAATAAGTAACTGAACACATTTATCTTATAAAATAATTCAAGTTATAATTTTTTAGGTATCAGGCAAAGAATTAACAAAATCTGTGGATTTATTACTTCAACTGGATGAACCTGTATTATCACTTTGTAAAGAATTTTTGTTACATTCAAAAAATCGTTTATTTGAATCATTGGATGACCTTCAGTTACAAGTTGAAAATCTTAATCAAGTAATTTTAATATCTTTTGATTTTTTAATGAATTGATTTAATTTTATTGTAGTTTTACATTGATATGTATTGTAAAATATATAATGTTTATCTACTATTGTTTACAATAATTTTATTTTTGTAGGATATGATTGAGTTTATTGACTTAGGAAGTGATACATTTCTTAGTCAATTATGTTTGGTAATAACATCATTTAATGATATGTTTATTGAAAATGTTTTAAAAAAGTAATACTTATTACTGATCAAATCCTACATTTTATTAATTATATATTCTATATTTTTAGTGATGGAAACGAAGAAAGTGAAATAACTATGAATCAATTAAGTATTTTTGTTGAAGACAATATGGTCAGATACTTAGAAATTGTTCAGTGTTATATTGATAGAAATACTAGTGATACAGCTATTCTAGTTAGAGCTTTAGATAGATTTTATAGAAAAATTCAAGCAATTGGAAAATTATTTTCGTATAAGGACTTTACATTGTGTGTTTTTAAAATAAAAATATAATATTATTTTATGCCATGCCATATTATTTTAAATATTTTCAGAAATGCTTTAGAAATAATATCTTCTGCTGCCCGCCGCCAAACCAAATTACATTTAGCTATGTTAAAAGCACATTTTAATGATAAACTAGCCACTATACGTCAGTCATTAGTGTCTCTACAAAAATTGAATGATAATGGATTTGCAACAGAATCATTGAATTCTTTAACATCAGATGTAATAGAAAAAGTGAAAGGAATTTTACAAGATATTTCTGTTAGTTAATTTTTTATTAATATTTCAATGTATCAAACTTTAATTTTAAAATACATATTTTAAATTTTAAAAATTTTATTTTTTTTAGATCCTAATATATTAATTTTATTTATAGGCATTTTTAGAACCAGAAGTATCATTTTCAACTAAATATACACTTCGAAAATCTATTAGTGTTGATAATGTACGTGAAGGACTTGTTGTTGGATTTTTACATTATTTATCATCAGCGGCTCGATCATACACTATAAGCATACCTTGTCCACCTGCTTTTCTCTTTTTGATAATGACAAAAATGTGTCTTGAGTATCAAATGTCTGGTGTTGGCTATTTGGTAAACTGACATATACTTTTAACTTTTGAAGAGTGATCAAAATTTAATAAATATTTGTTATTTTATTTATTTTTAGTTACATCTTGTGGATGAAATGTATGAGATTAATAAATATTTTGAAAACAAACCTAAGAATTCTTCACAACTCAGTTCTGAAGCTGAGCTAGCATCAGATATGCATTCTACTGCTCAAGATCTTGTAAATTATTATGTTCGTGTTGAAGGATTATCCATATCCCAAGTAAATTATTAAAATATTATATTTTTTCAAAACACTTGTTTAAGAATTATTTAAAAGTTATTTATTTTCTATTTAATATTTATTATTTAGATGCTAAAAAAGTCTGTTGAAACACGGGATTGGCTTCATAGTTTAGAACCAAGAACAGTACGTGCTGTTATGAAACGAGTTGTAGAGGAAATTACATATGTTGATAGTCAAGTAAGTTTTAATATTTTATTAGTAAATAAGTAGTTTAACCTACTATGTCATTTAATTACAATTTTATTGCTTGCTAAAATTATTGTTGAAACTTTTATAAGGTTTTAGAAAATTTAATAATTGTTGATAAGACATGATTTTTAATTAATGTTTTTACTATAAATAAAAATAATTGCAATTAAATAATAATATGTTAATTAGGTTGGTGAATTATTTGAAGAAGGCTTACGTACAGACAGAAGTAGTGATTCAAGTCGTAGGACTCAAATGTCTAGACACATAAGAGCATGGTCATCTGGTGGTACAGCTACAAACACCCAAACATTTTCAGCCATTAATCGTTTATTTTCTGAACGTATTGATATTTTTTCACCAGTTCAATTTTCAAGAGTTTCTATTACCACAGGCATTATAAAAATAAGTCTAAAAGTTAGTTTACTTATATTCCTGAAATTTCATCATCAATATTTTACCCTCTATTTTTATTTGCAGACACTTTTAGAATGTGTTCGTTTAAGAACATTTAACCGTTATGGACTTCAACAAGTTCAAGTGGATATACATTACTTACAACTTTATTTATGGCGTTTTGTATCAGATGAAAAGTATGCTATTTTCTATAATTAATTATTTTTTAAACTATATTCATAAATATTAAATCAATCAATATGTATATCAAAGTGCTTTAAGAATGTAAAATTTAAATTTTTTTAATTAAATTTATTACTACAGTGAAAAAAATTAAAAATACAATTTTCTTAAAATAAAGATATTTTGAATGAAATCTGCAAATTGATAAGATTATAATATTATTTATTTAATTAAATTTGGATATGTTTTGTCTTAAATAATTTTTATTTCTGGTTCTAAAATCCTATATCGGTCTTTGACCAAACAATTCTTGAATTTGGATTAATAATTTTGAATGCAAATCAAATCAAACATGTTATTAATCAATGCAATTATAATTTAATTGTTATTACATACCACTTCTTGTGGGTGTCCTAATAAAATATATGAAATAAGAATAGTTTATAACCAATTAATTAATTAATTTTTTTTGTTAATTAACAAGTCAAGTTGTATCCTAGACTTAATTATACACACTGTTTGACTTGTATCTTTATACATGTGTGATTTAAAAATTACATAGTTAAAATATTTATTTATAGAAAAGAAAACAATTCATTCTGTACAATTTCAATTATAGATTTTCGAAAATATTACATTTTCCTCTAATTAATCATATTTTAATATTGTTATTTAAAAAATTATTTATTTATTTCAGTTTAGTTCATTTGCTTTTGGATGAAATATTAAGCAGCTCTGTGCATAGGTGTTTAAATCCAGTTTTAATGGAACCCAGTGTTGTTGAAATTATTTGTGAAAGAGGATAAATTTGTTTGTGTTCATATTTTATCTTTTTTAATATTTATTTGGTAAAAAGAGCTTTTAGACTCTATATATATTATTTTATGTATTATATTATCAAAATAATTATTTTATAAACTGTAATAGCTATTCATTTTATTATTTTATTTATTCTAAAATGAAGTCATTATAATATTGTATGATAAATTTAACTTTTATCTAAACATTATTTATAGATCAACAAATCGTAATGCAGTACATTATGATTTGGAAACACTATAAATTTGATCTAAAACTATTAAATTTATTCGTTATTTAAAATGTCTTATTTTTAATTTTTGGGTACTAATATTCAAAGATATAAATTAGTATTCCTTATTTTTTGTGTATTGATCATTATCCTTTTTACCCCAGTAGATTTAAAGATAGAGGCAAATAAATTAAATTAATAAATTACATGTAATGCATTTCAATTTCATTGCATATTCTAATTACCTAATCTAACCCAAGAATAAATAATTACTTTCATTAAAAATATTTTTTTATAGTACATTTCAATTTTTATCTAAACAGGCAATATAATAAACTAGGTAGTTTAATTACCCGGCATCATACAGAACAATCTTGGGCTGAACATATTTTTAATGGATTATTACTTTACATTATTTAGTTTTACTTTATTTTAATTAGTTGGTTATAAAACAAATTAAACTAAATTTCAAATTTATCTATATGGTAGTTTTGGCTCTACACTGAATTACCTGGTTTTCCAGCATGGTATTGTTTTTGCCAATGCCAGTATTTTTTAGAATCCCCTCTTATTTCATGTCAAGAGTATTGGAGAGACCACTGTTTCAAAATTTCATACATTTTGTAATTTTTGATAAGCATCGCTGATCAGTGGTATTTCTAATTTTTTTAAATAGATTTTTATTTACTTATAGCTGAATTACCCGCTGTTGCCCAGTAATAGAATTTTGAGTGTTCAACTCCTTTTGGTATTACTCACTGTAGAAGTATTTTTAAGTGTAAATCATTAAGATAATAATTTTTAAAGTATTGATACAAATAAATAATAAGTATAGCGTACAATCAAAAAAGTGGTAAACAGGGACGGATTAAGGTTTTTACCGCACATAGGCTGAAATAAATTTACCACCTACCTACTTTAGGTATTGATATTTTACTTCTAAAAGTGATAAGTAAAAAATCCATCACGTGTCTTATTAAAAAAAAATGATCATGAATAAAAACAATACTTTGTATATACCTACCTACAATTATTAATAAATAAAAACAATAATAAAAATATAAGTAAAACTTGTTTTACTATCTAAAATAAACAAAATTAAGTTAAAATCGGATTCAAGCGATACAGGTTTTAATACTTTCTTCCTTCACGATCTACTATTAATACTATAAAATAAATAAAAAAAATTTAATAAATACCTAATAATAATAATAATTTCAGTTTCGGTTTACCTAGCAACAGAATACTGTTAATATCGATATTTGTTTCACAATCACATCGAACTATGTTCAAATTACATGTTTTTATATTTTAAATTTAAAAAAAATAAATAACGTAGTTTTTAGGTCACACCGTAAAAAAAGTTGCTATTTCTTTTTGACCGTTAAAATTTACCGCCTTAGGCTTCAGCCTAAACAGCCTAAGCGGTAATACGGCTGTGGTGGTAAGTATCGTTTTTGGAGGAAAATATAGTAGCTCTTGGAAATTATTTTCAGTAAAATAGATAAGTTCACAATTTTCTAGATGTACACTGAAATGTGTGACAGTGAGGTTCCTTTCCATTTTTTCGATTGTTATAGCAACAATAAAACAATTGTTCGTTCGGGCCTTATTAGGTATTCTGATGCTTCCCTTTCCTTTTTCCCGAGACAAAAGGTAGCCTGAGGTACCAAAAGGTATGATCCTCTCCAAAGTACAATGTATACTAAATTTCATCAAAATCGATTGCATAAAAAAAAACAGGTAGAAATAATTTTAACGTTTAATGTAAATTAAATGGCTTAAGCCCACTAAGTATTTGTGTTTGTACAATTTTAATAGTGTTAATAATAATTTTTATGATATAAGATAAGTAATATTGTTAATATTTTGACAGTTAAAACTACTTATATATATATATATTAGCTTTATTCAACATTCATAGAGAAATAGAAATTTCTATTGAAGACATCATTCAACGATTTGATTAAATGAAGAAAAAGTATACCGATTCAATTTTATAAAAGTAACAGGAACTGTCGTTTAAAAAATGAATTATAAGCAATAAAAAAATTGGTTTTTTTTATACTGATATAACTACATACCGGCAAATACAATAAATCGCCCCTCCCCTCTCAAATAAGATCCCAGATACGTGTCTGAGAAATAGATTATTTTTTGTTAGATCAAGAATCCTGGAGTATCAAGTTAGAAAAATGTTTTATCAAAACAACATTATCTAAAATGCACACAATAGGTTAGAATTATGAAATTAATTTGCCTAATTCATATAATCAGAAAATAAATGGTAGTCATATTAATGAATTATTATTTTGTCACTAATACGCTGAATAGTCATTACTTTACTCTTGGAACCCGTAAAGTAGTAACTACTTATAGAATAATGAAAATCATCAAATTAATATTATATGGAAAACAATATTGTTAACTTAATGTTATTTTGTATTCATTCTAATACCTATTGAGCAATTTTCATTTTTTTTTTTTTTTTTTGTATAACATTTTAGTGATTAACTATCCTTAAATATTGTACATTAAATATCAATACTGTTTAATGGTACTCTACATTATTACAATAAACATTAAACACCTAGGTACCTATTGATAATAATGATTATAATTGAGTCTTCATAGATATTATTAGAATATGAAATGTTGACCAAAAAATAACATTTTTTGAAAATATCTTTTTCTTTTTATCTAGACAAAAATGAAATTATCTTTTATCTTCATCTAAATATTTTAATGTTTTTTATCTATTATCTTTATCTAGATGAGTTTGGAAATATTATCTTTCATCTTTATCTAGATAAATTTTGCATTATCTATTCTCAACACTGATATCAATGCACACGATTTATCATCATCAGAACCGTGTCAAACATTTCAATGCCCCGGGGCAAAATTTTTTCTACAGGGCCACTGGGCACAGGTAGCATATTAAGTGCAGATAAGGGCGCCCTCTTACTTTTAAAAAACTACGGTGCTCGGGGGCAATTGCCTCCTTTGACCCCCCCCCCTTAACACGGCCCTGATCATCATGTAGATACAATTAACATTTTATCCTTTTTTATTAATATTATTTACTATTCATATTTTGTCGTATCTTATTTTATGAAAACCCTTTGTCCACTCAAAGATAGATAATGTACAAATTACCCAGTTAATGTACCTTTAAATTAAACGTTTTACAAATATGTTTACTTTATTCAATAGACATGGGTAGTGTTCACATTATCCGGATGATGTGTACATTACACGATTTTCGTACTCTAACCATAACATAAATATATTATTTGGAAGGAAGACATTTAATATAATTTAATTTTGCAAACGCAATAAGATTATTTCAGTAAATGACACTCATATACAATAACACTCAGGAGCGTATTTTAAATCGCTAAAACCAGGGGCGGATCCAGAGTCGGGGAACTGTGGGTCAAGCCATTTCAAGAGGCCATTTATTAGGGATGAAACTGAATTAGAAATGAATATCTTGTAAAAAAAAAAAAAAACAATATGCTCATAAAAGTGTATAAGTATATTTATACATTTTAGAATTAGTGATACCACCGATAATGACTTATTTACTAATTTAATTAATAAATATAATCTAATTTTATTACCGCAACAAACGTACAGAATAAAATATGATTTACTTAACTTTCTACTAAAACGATATAATTTAAAATATAAATTATGAATTGAAAAATTTTAAATTTTGAATATACATGGCATTCATTTTTCAAGTTACTCCGATGGGCCAACTGTCCAAGAGTCCAAATCAAGGTCTAAAGAGAGAAAAAAATTTCCAAGAGGCCAATTTTGTCAACAAATATTAACTGTGGGTCAGCTGACCCTCTGACCCCCCCCCTAGATCCGCCCCTGGCTGAATCCGTATTTAAGGAATCGATTGTATGAGAGATACACATTTCAAATTTTTTAATGTGGATCATTTCATAACGAAATCAAATTAGGCGTGGCTGTGAATACTGAATTGGGCTATACTTATTGAAAAAACAAATAAACACAAACGTAACTTTCAAAACACAGACAAGTGTTAAAAAAGAACTACATAAAAGTTGATCAATCTAGCATTAGATAAAAAAAAAAAAACCACAAGTATTAAGGATTCACCCGATTTAAATATTGCAAAACATTTTACTTGTACATTTTGAGCCTGAAATAAAGAAAAATTTGGGCCCCCCCCCCCAGAAGTAAGTCTAAATATGCCCCTGATCGCATTGAAGTAGGTATCAAATATTATGTAATTTATAAAAATATTTTCTGTTCAGAAATCACTAGAGTATAGATAAAACAGAATTATCGAAAATTGCAATAATAAAATGAACTTCAGAGTGTTCAAAAACAATGCATACAATCATTGATAGTGATTTAATAATGGTTAGTGGAATCAAAAACCTATTAGCTTGTTTCCGTTTTAAAAATACTGAACTTAATTAAAAATAAATATACATTTTATTTGATCCAATTGAAAAATCATTCAGTGTGCCATAAAATATAGCTATAATATACATATTTCCCTGAAAATTGCAGTAGTAGTCAGTATCTAGTTCTTATATAAAAGCAGACTTGGGTAGTATTCCGAATACAATATTTGGAATACTGTATTCAGAATACTTTTTAAGTATTTTGAATACTTATAACGAGTATTCTGAATACTGTATTTCGAATACCGTCAAATCATCTATTTTTTAAATGATTTTATTACTTTTCCGTCGTATCTTGTATAAGCTAATATTAGGTATTTATTATTATTGTAAACCATCAACTATAATAGTTATATAATAAAAAAATACAATTAAATAACATATATTTAGTCTACAATTTCAAATATTTCTGTTGAGTGAACATCTATTATTTTTATAGTTGGAAAACTAGAAGTATTTTAAAAGTATTCGGAATACAATTTGTATAAAGTATTTGAATACATATTCGGATTACTATTTTTTGTAAGTATTCGAATATTTATTCTAAATACTTTTAAAAAATATTTTACCCAAGTATGTATAAAAGTCATGATACTGGTTTTATTTTTGATTACTTATATTTGTAACTATTATTCAGTGAAAGAAGAAACTCTTTTCTGTAATACCACATAATCATATTTTTCCGAAGCACCTACAATAGAATACGTCTATGTTCTTAAATTTCTAAACACTTTTAAATTCAAACCCAGTTTCGAAAAAGCAAATGCTGAAAATATAATCATTGATGTAAATTATAATAATATTTGGGAGTTCCAGGGTGTCTGAACCCCCCACCCGCCACCCCACCGAAATTTCTTCAATATTTTACGAATGTTTAAAATACCAATTTATTTTTAATATCAACATAAATATTTTCAGTCAAAAATGACTTAAGCTCCAATTAATTATTGACTGCTTTTAATTTTATATCATAATATCATATGAAAATATTATATTAGTTTTAACAAAAGAAGATTAAATCTTTTTCTGTCTTATTTTTAACCAAATATCGAAAGTTAAAATCTAATTTCAATAAAATTACAATATACATATTTTGGACCCCTTCCGAAAAAAATTCTAGATACGGCCTTGCACTGTTTAGTTATTATCATACTCATATATTAGGTACATGCAATATAGTGTTGTATTTCACACGCTTTATAAACGCATTTGTTAGGGATTTTAAATTGAAATATTATTACTTTACAATGTTAAACCACCTATGATCTATAAGTGTGTGTGTGTATAAATGTGTATTGTAGTTTTTGTTGCCCCCCATGCGTCTTATTCATTAAGCATTGACATAAATGCCAGGACACGTTGTTTGTATAGTCATGAATATTCTTTCCCTTTGACTAATATCATATATACATATATAGGAACCTATATTTTGCCGTATGTGCTACACCTTTAAAAAAAAAGTATGGAACAGGAAGTGTACATATTTTTTTAAAGAAATAAACCAGTTGTCACAAAATGTTTTTGGAAATAATTACTCCCCACCTTACCATGGATATATTTACCAATAATTTTTTTTTTTTTTTTTGGATGCGTAATAAATCTATTATCGATAAATAATGTAATTTCTATTATAGCCGTCAATATGAAGTCTATTATTTGTTATACATGTAATAAATATTGTAATTGTTTGATAGTAGGTATATGCACATATTCTTAAAAAATTAAAAACATATTTTTAACACCTGCATACATGTAGTTTCCTCATAATTCACTTTCCAAGAAAATAATGATGAAACGATTGTTCTATTACAGTTTAAAAACAAATTTTTTATCAATTTATTAATTTGTTTAGTAAAAAATTACTTAGAATATATTAGTCAAAAAAATTATGTAATGTATAAGTTATATTAAATATTTAAAATATGTATAATTCAATAATGATATTTAAAAATGTATTATGACTATTTCATAAAAAAATTTAGTAATCCTTTAACTTTATTTTCGATTCTCAAGTAATAAAATTAGGTATTCTTGTTCTAACTGCATTTATTTATGTAGTTTTATAAATATTAAAGATAAAAATAGTTAATACAAGTAGTTATGAATACATAATTATATAATTATATAAATTAAATACAATAGTAAACATTATTTTCAAATTTTTTGATGGGAGTTTACAATTTTTTTAAAAAATAAGTGATTTTATATCATAAAAAATACATAAATGGTATGAATTCATAATTATATTATTTTACAGATATTTTTATACAAACATTACAATCACATGTTATAAATGAATGTTATCTTTCTCTGTGTCTTCATAGCAAGTAATTTATGAATTTTGAACCTTTTTTTTTCTTCCAGCGGGGAGGGTTCGAGACCTGGAAAACCTTACACCCAAAAATACGCCATTGTTAATAAGTGCACCTTTGTATTAAATTAATTTTATTTGTTAATAAAAATGGCGTATGATCATAAATGTAAAATTTAAGTATAATAATTCTCAGAATAGGTAGGTTAGGTGGGTTATTAATGAAAGGGTATAAATAAGCTAATTACATATAAGTTCATTATGTCATGTTATGGTTATATTTTTTTAACCTATACCGATTAACATTTCATAACTAATATTTTAAGATAGCTACCTATTAATTTGTTATCATGTTATCCGTTTTACTTTATAAAATGTTATGAACATGAATAGTTGATACTTAATTATAAGAAAATGTTTTATCGCGTTGGTTGGTGTCATTATACTACCCTACTGTACTTATTTACACAATAAAATAATTGAATTTTTGGTACGGAAAGAGAGGTGATATATCACCTGTTATTATTTCACTGTTTATTTCACTCTGATATTATTTTATAAAATAATATAAGAGCGAAATAAACTTACAGCCAAGTGTCTCAATTGATTCTTTTGTTCAATATTAAGTAGGTATTATAAACTATATACCTATTTTTCGCTTGATTGTATAAGTCATTATTCAGTTTTAAAGAAGTACTTATTATTTAGGGATTCAAAATTATATACACCACCGTCATTTATATAGTTCGTCTTAAAATAGTTTTGTTGGGTATACGCATTATCATAAAATAAAAAACTACACTTCGGTGCGTTTGGATATAAGGAAACCGAACAAAAATTGGGGAGAAAACATCAACCGAGGTTAGCCTATTATCATCATCGTTACCACCGGCATCATCAGCATAATGTGTGCGGCGGTGGCGTTGTTCAGGTATTGTTAAATGTCATCTGTATCGTACACCATCCGCGCACGTATACGTACACCTATAACATAATAGTGTATACCTGTCACAGCTGTTAATTAGTGACATATTGTTTAGTTTTTTTTCTCTTCTACCTGTACAGTTATAGTAGAAATCGAATGGAACGCATTCGGTTGTTCGCTGTCCCACGGATAGCACACCCATTTCCTCAACTCGTATGTGTATTAATTCAACACTCGTACTCAGATGTAACTACCTGAAATATTATAAATACTATCGATGGAAGAATATGATTTCAGTTCGTTGTATTTATAGCATTTTCACTTGTTGTTCAGCCATTAATAAACGAACAGTGTCCACGAGAACGCGATAACCATCAAATTAGGTACGGTGAGCATCGATATTATATTAACTTTATTTTATATTTAAATAATACTATGTTTGTGAATTCTATACTTTTTTTATCGTTTTTACTGAACTACGATTAGTTTATCGTAATTAACATTTTCTCAATGCAAATTATTATGTATACATATAGGTACATATAGATACCTATAGGTACCTATAGATACGCATTGTTTTGTATTAAGTTTTTGAAAAAAAAAATAAAAATCAGTTTATATTATTTATGTGAGAAATATTTTCAACAAAATACGTAACGAAGCGCATAGTAGTATGATGACGCTCAATCATAACATTTTTATCCCGTTAGCCTATTTAGATTTAAAATATTGTACTACCCATGTTAAATAATTATATTTTTATAGATTTTTTAGTAATTTTACAAATAAGTGTTGATACAATTGCATAATTACTGTTTCTAAAACAAATGTTACGTGTTGATTTATTCGAATTTACACAATTTATATTCAAAATATAATACAGCTGATTGAGGTACTTAATAAAAATCTATGATATACATATATCACGAAGAGGAATATTAGTTTGAAGGTATAGAGGTTAAACGAATTAAAGACGAAACGAAAATTAAATGGGTCAACGAAAGATTTAATTAATTGAGATGAATTAGTGTAATAAGGCGTATAAAAAAATGTATTACATGAATTCAAAGATTTAGACCACAAAAAAAGCATTTATTGAAATTGTTCTTTTGTAATTTTCTTGGAGTAACGTAAATTTATGTGAATAATAATTCAAATAAACACACATATATCATTTATTATATTATACAACATACGCAATGTAGTCCATAAAAAGTTTGAATATTTTTCTTTACTGAAATTGATAAATTATATTTATAAAATATAGTTGGATATATTTTTGATATTTATATAATCCAACCACTTGTGATATTGCTTATAACTTACAAGTAGAGTAGAACCTTTCAAACGCATTACTTTATATTATATAGATATATTAACATTGATTAAATCATGTGGTATTGTATAATTGTGTCAACGATTTCAAAGATTCATGCATGAAATAATAGTTAGAAGTAGTAGTAAGTTAGACTTAAATAAATATTTAAACCTACAGAATTGTTTTTTTATTTATATTAGAGTAATTAATTATACATTTATATCAAATACATACATATAGATGCAGATTTCACATCTGTTTTTTATTTTATCAAAACATCCGAATGTGACGAATAATGAATTAATAATATTTTAATTTATATTTTCTGTTGAATTTTAACTAAATAAACTATGATCTTTGGAATATTCGTAATAATTTTAATTGCACTTAGATGTTAACAAAGTGAATAAGTTTCTAAAATAAAAAAATCATATATTTTTATTTATTAGTATGATTAATTTATATTATTCATAAGTTTATAAAAAATGTAATTTGTATACACAGTACAGTACACACATATGGGAGGATGATGTATTTTTATGTATATTATTTAAACATTATTTCACATACATGTATTCTAACACGGGGATTATTCATACTATGATATACAATATCTATAATGATATGATATATTATGCATTTATACAAATGATAAAATACAATTTTTGATTAGCAATATAGTAGAAGTTCGTTTTACAGACATGTTGGATATAACAAATAATTCTTATGTGATCGTTGTTTATAATTATTTATAGGTAACTAATGAATGATTCAAATTGTTAAATTGAAGAGATGAAAAGTGCAAAAAACTAAGTTGATTATGAGGAAATAATGAGAACATTTCATATCCAGATGCCATTAGGAACGAACATCCATTAAAAACGGATGTATAACTTACATTATCCCAGATTACATGGATAGTTAATACAAATAATTGCCCATGAAAATAGTTTGAAAAGTGATTCATTGATCATTGCAACGGTTGTCGTAGCTCATGGGTATTGAACATTATTTAATATTGTAATATAAACTTTAATGAAATAATAAATAATAATAATAATAAAAAAAAAAATCAAAATATGTTTAAAATATAAAGAGGAAACTGGTAGACGGTATACGATGGATAAATGAGACGCTATTCACAAACGTTTATTATTGCTGTGAATTGTCCGTTAAGTGGACCCGCACGATAGACACCGGCATCCTCACATTCACATATGAAACCTTCACGTACAGTATCCTACACTGTGCAACGTGTTATTTAATATTAATTTAGATGCATTCCCCTTTTAACGAACAGTATCCTGTTATATTATACTGCCTGCAGTCCTTTGCTATTCATTTTCGATCCCCTCGTCCCTCATTGGAAGTATTATTTTTTTAAATCATTGGGAATAATGGTTTACTGTAATAATGTAACAATAAACAAAATCATACACATCAAAATCCGATAGTATTTCTTATAGCAATCATGTTATACCATGAAATGTATGTAGATATCTATATAATCGTCTATTTAATATTTTAATATTATCATTAGGTAAATTTAGACTTTTAAAAGCGAACGATTTATATTATACTATATAAACTATGTAAGTATATATATGTATATACATATACATATATAAATATAGAATATACTTTTTTATTTATAAGTTTATAGTTATTTGATAATATCTAAATCTAAGCTCGTTTCTAATAAAGTATAATTACAGTTTAAGAAAAATATGGATATGACATTATAATACCGTTCAATGTGTTGGTGTAATTTATTTTGATTTCACAACAGTATTTACTATTTAATAAGTATTTTATTATTACCGCTTAATTATAAGCTTTAATACAATTTATTTTACATCAGTAATTTAACGTTTATACAAAATAAATTACACTTGATTTAATTATATAGTACATTAATATGCAACGATAATTTTCAATGTTGACACAAATTTTTGGTTTTAATTCTTTAATAATTTAAGACACTCCGAGGGTAAGTAAATATTAAAAATTTTGAATCAAATAGAAAATTAGGATATAAATTCGGGCAAAAATTAAAATAAAAATGTACGTTTTAACGTTATAGTTGTTTCAGCCCACTCGTGTAAGAACGATATTATAAAAATATAATTATATAATAAAATTCTAAAATGTGTACTGTACATGTACAGTTTCAATATTTTGACAATTTTATTCATATATTTTTGTTACTTTCAACAATAATTTGCATAAGTTTTTTTTTGTACATATGTTATATTATAATATAGCTAAACACAATGATATTCTTTGGCACGCAGCACTATTGCCGCCTTTTATACTCGCAGCTATGCTACCACATTCGTTTACAGTTAATAAGGTCAATTATTCGTCATCTGCAGTTTAAATTATGGCCCTGTACTCAAAAGACTTATAATTATTTTTACATATAAATGTACACATATATATCGTTCATGTCATAAGCTATTATTGATTTTTTTATTCAAATCGTCTTCATAAACTGGGTATTAACTAAATAAACTTAAATAATTTATGAACTAAAATCGACCAAAAAAAAAAAATAATCAAATTTAGTTTATTGGAAGTTGGTTTCGTTAAATTGTAGGTAATAGTACAACTTCATATAGGTTCTATTTTTTTATGACTTATAAGGTATTGAATTGAAAAAATACATTCGTTTGTACAAATAAAAAATGTATTAATTAAATAGGTCGATTGAATTGTCGATGTTTACTTTGAAAACTCTGCATTTACATCTGTTATAACAAGAGTTTTAGTACACTTCAACGTACTCTGTAAACATTTTTACGACATCAGAAGTTTCAGTTTTTTAAGCAATTGTAAATCTTCAACAGTTATAAAATAACATAGTTAGAGAGTAGTTATTTTTTATTTTTATACAAACTTTCAACATTAACATTATTGCAAAATAATTATTGAAAATAATTTCACTTTTTTTTTTCAGAATTGGACATCAACTACATTAATGCAACAAAAACTATACATTTTAGCAACTATTGTTTATTTGGCTGAAGTCTAGAGACTAGAGTGCTAAGTAGTAGCGCCAACGGTGAATTGAATATAAATATGTCACCTGCGTACTACTGCTTACCATTCTGGCCTCCTAATTACATCTCATGAACAAATTCAAAGTTGAATACATGGTGCAATTTAAATTACAACTGCGAACATTGGATTTGAATCTAGTTTTAATTTTTGTATTTTTAAAATGTAAAATCATTAAGACAAGTATTAAATGATTGGTTTTAATTATTTACAGACAATAACATATTTATTGAACACTACTATAACTAAAAATATTGATTAACTTACAATTATATATTGTAATAATTATATTGTTATTTTTCTTATTTAAATAAATTTATTTAAATAAAAAATTATATGTTTTGAATAATAATTGCGTTTAAAATATACTTAGATAATACAATATTGAACATTAGTAACAATGTAACATTTATATTACCCATCATGATAGAAATCAATATTCAGCAATTAGCATCAACATCTAAAAGAACTATTCAATATTTAATCACGATCAATAAAATAATCAAATCATTTCACTAAGAAAAGTACTTGGAATTAGAAATGTATCATTACTTGTAGCTACATTAAGTGACTCTTATATTCAAACTAATGCCCATTACTTATGTTCAGTAGGTAATCTTATGCATACATTTAGGTCTAATAATGTACATCCAACCAAAAATTATTTACTTCTTTGTTTTAATTTAGTAATTTTATTTAGACTATCTATTAAGTAACTATTATTAATAATCTGCATCACTGTAATTTTATATAATTTGAGCGTATTCATTATTATTTGTGTTCAGAGCTGTACTAACAGAAAATTATATTTACATATTCACTATTTTTTCGATATTATTAAAATGTAATCATATTAATGTAGCTAATAAGCAGACATAAACTTATAATAGTTATAGTACTTAAAATAAATAAGTCAGATATTTAAATTTTATATATTATAAATTAATTTGATCTTACCTTTATAATCAACGGTGATTAAAAAAATTAAAATAAATTTACTAAATACAAATCGATTGTATTTAATTATATCAATATGAGGGTTCTAAAGAGTTGTCAAAATTATATAATTTTGTATAACTGTAAGTAACTTCATCATCGTATACCTTACAATACATGTATACAAATATTATTACAGCTATGAAGTATCGCATTTTTTATTACAATTATAATACTTAGAGCAAAGATATCGGAGAAACGCGAATTGCCACATATTTGAAAACTTTCCATTAAACGAGTCAATACAATCGATAACTATCGGTTTATACAACACATTTATAAATTGATGATAATACAAAATAGGTAGAGGCCTTAGTACATATATTGTCTAATATACACAATACTTATATAACATTATAATATGTGTATTTTATTGTGAGTGCGTAAGGAATATAGAAAATCGAGACGAGTGGAGGTATAGGACAAGGGTGGCCAGCCCCAAATAGTTTAAAAAAATGGCGAAATAGAAAAAGATATGTATAAATATGTGTAAAATTACATCAAATTCTATAATATTATCTTTGTGATGTTTTTAACCTTTGATACCAAAACTGTATGCACTTCATTTAAATTTCGTGGCAATTTAGGATGTATAAATATATAGGATATATAAAAGGATTATAAATTCCAAGCGTGTTGCATGTTTTTCTTTATATTAATCACGTCTGTAATCATTAATGTATTTGTGCTCACATTATGTTGTAGAATATGTTCATAAAAAAGTATTGATGATCTTTCTGAGTGTTATTCTGAAGCTTTTCGTTTCAAACGGCTACTTAGTACTTGATTATTAATTTTTTTACTAAGTCCTTTGTACATGTATGAATTAAGTGTGAAACATCGAACTGAACTGAATTTCACCGTTTAAATTAGTTTTTAAGTAAGCTTTACATGTTTCTTTGTTGCATATCCATCTTTTAATTTCATTAGCAAGGTGTTTTTGGAATCCATAATTGTAACCATCGACCATTAAAACAGTTTTTCCATTTTCACTTAAAATTATACACATTTTGATCAAAATAAATTATTTAATTATATTATTAATTAAAATTATTAAGTTATAACGAAAAATATTCCATGGTTTCAATAAGATAGTTCGCCAACGTATACTGACGCGATAGTGCAGATATTAGTACCTGGTGTCAATCTGTAGTCTTAAATTAAAAACAAGTAAAAGCAACTTTATATATCTATATCTTACTTTGATATTGTCTAATGGAAATTGGTAAAACCAATGTTAGCGAGTAGTAGGTTAGATAAAATACGAAACAAAAATGCGGCACTTTTATCTCTATTATATTCTAGTTTACATACGTATTATAATATTCGCGTATAGGTTACTTAATTATTATTACGCTCACAAACAGCCACATATTCTATTTGTTTTAGATCACAAGTTTAGAATTTGGAACAAATTTTATCATAGTATATTTACTATCACTCCTAATTTCCAATATCGATAAATATCGAATTATCGAAATCGATGTCAATTTATAGATAATTATAGGAGGCAATTAGAATATGGTAGCATAGGGGCACTTGAATTGCCTCCAAAAAATCCAGAGGCAATTCAACTGACAAAAAGTAACCTAACCAAATTTTGAAAGCCGTTTGTGCGCACCGAAGATATCATATTCTTTGTACACACACATTGACACATGTGTATTGATATATGTTATGATGTAAGAGATCTAAATTGAAACCAAATTTATTTAATAAAAAAAGTAACTAATGCAATAACGTTAATATTTTAGAAATGCACTTATAAATAATTAAAAATCGACTTTAATCGAATGTAATGTTTTACTATTTTACTATATTTACAAATATATTTTTATATATGTCTTACTTATTACCATCAGGGCCGGCTTTAGATACGATCGAAGCGTGTGACGGCCCAGGGTGCCAAAATCAGAAGGGTGCGTAAGAGGCGTCGAAATTAGAACTAAATTTGATCAACCGTTGGCGACACAAATCATCTACTACGGGTTGAAAAAAAATGTCACGATATGATTCAATATAAATTTGATTACTATTATAATTATCATTATTTATTATTTTATCGACATGTAAGGATAAGCCGCTCTTGTAGATACAATTACAGTTTTATAAACTATCATTATATTATTTCGGGTATTATTATGTTTGTTCTCCGAATGATTTACAATTATGTGGCAAATATGCACGTTTGAAAAATTATTACGAACATTTATGATTATGAACGAGGCTCATAAT